TTAGTGGTTTTATTGTGACCAACCTACTGGTTGTGAAATGTGACTCATTGTGGTTTTGATTTGCATTTTCCTAATGACTAATGATATTGAACATCTTTTCATGTGCTTGTTGTCCCTTTGTATATGTATGGGGAGAGGTCTATTCACATGTCCATTGCTTATCTTTTAATTGGGTTGTTTTCTTGTTCTTGAATATTTAGAGTTCTCAAAATATCGTAGGTTCTAGACCCTTATTTGATATTTGATTTGCAAATATTTTATATTTTTTAATTTGTTTCTTTTTTGATAATACCTTATGATTCACAAAAGTTTTAAAATGATACAGTTCAATTTATCTGTTTTTCTTTTTGTTGCTTTTGCTTTTGGTGTCATATTTAAGAGTATTGTCAAATCCAAGATTATAAGGATGTACCCCTATATTTTTTCTGAGTTTTATAGTTTTAGCTCTTATATTTAGGTCTTTAATCTATTTTGAGTTGTTACATATGATGTAAAATAGGAGTCCAACTTCATTCTTTTGCACTTGGACTTCCAGTTTTTAGCACCATTACCTGAAATATACTATTCTTTTCCCATTTAATGTGCTAAGTAACTTTTTCAAGAATTAGTTTTTTATATCATTATATGATGTATGAGTTTATTTCTGGTTCATTTGTCTAATGTTATGTCAGTATCAACGTGTTTTGATTAATGTTGCTTTGTTTGGCGCTCTTTGAAATTCCATTTACTTTTCACATCTGCAAGAATTTTTGTGAAAATTTTAATAGAGTATGCATTGCAATTGTACATGAAACTGTTTTCTCAGTTTCTCTCTTGGATTGATAATTGCTGGTTTATGCATGTTGATCTTATGCACTGTAACTTTTCTGAATTTACCAATTGATGTTTTCATTTTCTTCATTCTGCTCCTCTGATATGTACGTTCAGTTGTCTTATTTTCTTGTGTTCCTGTTTAGTGGATACTACAGTACAGAGTAAAAGCTTATTTTGTGTCTGTATGTTTTGGTAGAGCACGTACCGTTCCTGTCGCGGGGCATGTCCACTGCCGATTGTACGGAGAGCTTTCTCATCAGCCTACCCATGAGGAAAATTAAGATTGTCTTGCTGTGTCCCCGGGAAATGGTCAAGGCTTTTAAAAAGAGAGAAAGTAGAGAACAAAAGGATATGTCAGGCGTATACAGAATTGTGTTATTGGCTGATAGTGTGACTCCTTTATGAATGTGTGACTTACTGAAAACTCTTATTTTAAAGAATTGTCTTTTTCTATTAGGCTTTGAATACGAGGTTTTTTTCCCCCACATATAAGTAGAGTTTTTAGTTCTGTCACGTCTTGTTCAGTCAACTCTATAAACAGCCGTCATTGCATTTGTTTTGTGTACTTCTGTTGAAGGCTTTCCGCAGGAAGAATCTCAGTTGTGACCTTGTATGGATGCCAGTGAAATGATGAGAATTCAAGTTTCTAGTGTACCAGTAACTGTAATGAGCTGCTAATTGAAGGTGACGTTTTTTCCTTCCCAGCTGGTCTAACAAAATGTTAAATTTCATTCATTATTAACTCTTTGCTTCTCAGCAGAGGACTGACTGGTTTAATTAGTTGGGCACATTAATAAAAGAATTTTTGCCTTGTCTTAATTTTAGAGATTGGAGTTCAGGTTTTACTGGCAATTGTATACAGTTGTATAAGTACCCAATATAATCAAGACAAAGCTACATTTCTGTTACTCCCTAAAGTTTCTCATGCCCCTTTGTTCCCTATTTCTCCCTCCTTCCCTGGACTCTGGCAACCACTAATATGCTTCCTATTACAGTTTTGCCTTTCTACCTTTTCACTGGACTCATACAGTATGTAAACTTTTCTGTCTGGCCTTTTTTAATACTTCATAATGGTTCTGAGGTCATCTTAATCTGTGTTGTCATATGGATAATTTGTTCTTTTAAATTGCTGAGTAGTAGTCTGTTGCATCAATATGTCACAATGTATTTATCCATTCATTTAATTATTAATATTTAGCTGTGTTTCTTATTATAAATAACAAATTAAAAAATATTTGAGGAACCATCATACTGCTTTCCATAGTGGCTGCACCAATTTACATTCTTACTAACAGTGCACAAGGGTTCCCTTTTCTCCACATTCTCGCCAACATTTATTTATTTAAAAAAATTTTAAATTTATTGATTTTAGAGAGAAACGATGATTTGTTGTTTCACTTACTTATGTAGTCATTGTTTGATTGGTGTATGTGCCCTGACTGGGGATCGAATCTGCAACCATGGCGTATCAGGACAATGTTGTAACCAACTGAGATACCCATCCAGGGCCAGAATGTGTTTTTTATTCTTTTTATTTTAATTAATAAAATTTCAATTACAGTTTACATTCAGTATTATTTTGTATTGTTTCAGGTGTACAACATAGTGGTTGGACAATCATATACTTTACAAAGTGTTCCCCTATAGTTCTGGTGCCCACTTGGCACCATACATAGTTATTACAATATTACTGAGTATATTTCCTATACTGTACTTTACATTCCCATGACTCTTTTGAAAATAGCAATCTGTACTTATCAAGCTCTTTGCCTTTTTCATCTAGTTCCCCAAATACCCTCTTCTATGGCAACCATCAGTCTGTTCTTTGTGTCTGTGAGTGTGTTTCTATTTGGTTTATTCATTTACAGGTGTATTATTCTTTAGATTTCACATGTAAGTGAACTCATATGGTCTTTGTCTTTTTAAAAATCATTTAAAAAGATTTTAATTAATTTACTTTTAGAGAGAGGGGAAGGAAAGGAGAGAGGGGAGAAATATCAATGCATGAGAAATAGATTGATCGGTTGCCTCTTGCACACCCCTAACTGGGACCCAGCCTGCAATCCAGGCATGTATCCTGACTGGGAATTGAACCAGTGACATTTTGGTTCTCAGGTGATGGTCAATGCACTGGGCTACACCATCCAGGGCTGGTGTTTGTCTTTTTTGACTGACATATTTTACTTAGCATAATAGCCTCTAGGTCACCCAAGCTATTGCAAATTGTAAGATTTCATTCTTTTTTATGGGCAAGTAATATTCCATTGCATTACATCTACCACAGCTTTTTTACCTGTCTATTGATGGGCACATGGGTTTTTTTCTAAATCTTCTAAATAACGCTACTGTGAACATAGGAATGCATATGTTCTTTTGCCTTAGTGTTTTGTGTTTCTTGGTTATATACTCAGAATGAAATTCTTGGGTCATAGGCAATTCCATTTTTATTTTTAATTTTTTGATAATAGATATTTAACAGATTTGAGGTGATATCTTATGCAACCTTAATCACTATAGCTCAGTAAGTCCCATACATATAAAGTCCCTGATCATGATTTGCATCTTTTCACAAAAATTGTAAAATTAGCCTTTCATTGTTGAATAGGATGAAAACAGGTGACAATTCAGTTTTACTTTGTTCATAATCTTTTGGGGAAAGTGTTTACTCTTGCATCTGGGTTTTTTATAGAAGCCCTTCATCAGGTTAAAGAAGTTCTCTTCTATTAACAACCTTCCATTCCTGGGAGAAACCTAATCCAGTTTTGCATTGTTGAATTTGACTTGTATTTTGTTGAGGAATTTTTATGTATATTCATGAGATGTAGGGCTTTCAAAATTTATCTGTAGTTTCTTATGAAGTATTTGTTTAGTTTTCAGGGGTTAGTGGCCTCATAAAATGAGTTGGAGAGTGCCTCCTTTCCTACCTTCTGAAAGAATTTGTGTAGGCTGTCTAAACTTTTTTTGCTTAAATGGTCGATAGAATTTGCAAATTCTATTTCCATTGGGTTTTACTTGCTCTTTTTCTAATTCCTAAAAATGCAAACAGTAATGTCTCTGTTCTAGTGTCAAAAAACAGTATCTTAATAACTATACCATTGCAATATGCCTTCAATGGAATGCATATCCATATACATATTCAAATAAGGTCTCATTCTTGGTAGATTTTTAATTAGGGTTGAACTCTATTAGTTTAGAAAGTCTGTCATCCTATGGTATTATATACTTCCATTTATTTTGGTCTCGTTTCATTCTTTTTTTTGTGTAAATGTATTGAAATTTTCCTTAGATTTATTCCAGGGTATTCAGGGCATTAATATATTCAATACATGATATTGTTTTAAGTTTTCATTTTGTAACTGTTTATGCTTGATTTATAAAAATATGAGTGCTATTATATCTAGTGACCTTGGTTAATTAATATATTATTTCTAATTCTTGTGGTTTATGGAATTGGGTTTTTACTTAACACCATCAGGTTATCAGCAAATAACAACAGTTTTATTTCTTCCTTGTAGTAATTTCTTGTTGTGCTGTATGTTCAGGACCTTCCAAACTATGTGGAATTGAAGTGGCAATAATAAGTATTCTTGCCTAGTTCTTGATTTTAGGGTTAGAGCTTTCAGTATTTTACCATTATGAATAATTGCTAGTTTTTTGTTTGTTAGTTTTAAGGTTGTTAACCTTTATCAGATTAATGAATAGGCTTTTAATTTATCAAGTCTTTTCTGCTTTATTATAATCTTAGGATTTTCCTTTTTTTAAAAAAAAAATTACTTATTTATTTTCAGAGAAAGGGAAGGAGGAAGAGTGGGAGAGAAGCGTCAGTATGTGGTTGCCTCTTGTGCACTCTCAGATGGGGACCTGGCCTGCAACCCAGTCATGCGCCCTGACTGGGAATCAAACCAGCAAATCTTTGGTTTGCAGACTGGTGCTCAATCTACTGAGCCACACCAGCCAAGACCCTTTTCCATAGTAGTAGTTTAGTGAATGAGTTTTACTAGTTTTTCTTTCTCTAATTTTGCATTCCTAAATGAGTTGACTGGGATATATTATCTTTTTTAAACAACTCAAGTTAATTTTCTTATTGTAAGAAGTTTTCAGATTATTTTCATGAGAAAGTATTAGTTTACTGGCCATCCCACCTTTTGGAAAATAATGGCATTTTTATTTCTTTTTTATTTTTTTAGTACTAGCCCACCTTACTGTTGTGTGGATCTGTATTCGCTTCGTACCGGGGAGATGGTCAAGTCCATCCAGTTTAAAACTCCTATCTACGACCTTCATTGTAACAAACGGTAAGCGTTTTTCATGTGTTTCTTATGCAAGCTAACATACCTCCTGAGCATGTAGAGCTCTGCCGATATCATTGACTATCTTTGATTTATTTTAAAAAAGTTGCAAGAACATCTTCTGAATTGTGCTAAATGGAGTAGCTCTTAAGATTTCTTTAAAAAAAAAGATTTCTTAATGAATATTTTCAAATCTCCAGTCTTGACCCATTATTGAATTGTGAATTAAATTTGGTGAATCATAACCAGAGTTTTAAAAATGAAATGGAAAAGAATAGAAAGTATCTGAGCAAAACATGCAAAGGTTATGAGAAATGATTTATGTATATGATTATGTAATTTTTAAATATAATGTGTGTCTCTGTGTTTATTGGTTTATGATATTAATATAATTTTCCTTTTAGCATTTACCAAAACAAAGGATATCTGAACTACAAAATATGCTTTTTTCCTCATTCCTTAAGACTACAATTGAGCTAACACAGGAAATGGGTAGGATTCTCTAAGAAAATTTTCAGACCTTGGTTGAGTTTCTACCTGACCTAGTAATAATGAAGAATTACTTTATGTAAGTACAACACATGGAAGGAGAAAGGGACATTAAGAATCTTCTATTAGTTAACACTTTACTTATACATTTAAACTGAACCCCTAGAGTGGTGTCAGTGCAAACTGTAATTCTTTCATTACATTGGAAAGCAAACGTGTAGAACATTGAAAATAAAATATTTTATGTTATGTCAATATAAAGTAAATTTTATAATGAAGCCCCAGGTTAGATTTTTTTTTTTAAGATTTTATTTATTTATTTTTTCAGAGAGAGGAAGGGTAGGGGAAAGAGAGTGAGAAAAACAGCATGCCTCCAAATGGGGACTTGGTCTGCAACGCAGGCATGTGCCCTGACTGGGAATCAAACCAACGACCATTCAGTTCCCAGGCTGGCACTCAGTTCACTGAGCCACACCAGCAGGGGTCTCAGGTTAGATTTTAAAAGGGGTATTTCAAACATTGACTCAGAAAGGTTGAACTTAATTGGAAGGTTAGACATACCTGATAAATACAAACTAACAAGCACATACGCTTTAATGCTAGTGATAAATGTATCCAGACATTTGAATTGAAACCGGACAAAGAAAAGGTATTCTGTTATAGTATATAATTCATAGTGAAGGTCAAATTATTATACATATTTAAAGTTCAGTAATATCACTCAAAATTATAGGAAATAGGAGAAATATTGCTAGAATAATGTTGTTATCCAGTGAGATAGTAAATTATTTGAAGGCATCACTGTCGAATAGTTGAGTCCAGCAGATGGTATATTGAACCAGGAAAACTGTACTGAAGACTCTTCTTTTTGTGTGTCATGGCATGAGTTACCTGTTTTTCTTTAGCCAGAGAGAAACTTGAACACATTCAAAAGGGAGATAAGTACAAATATTTGTTTGTATTATAGAAACATAAATACGCTAGAAAAAAAGAAAAAAGTGAAGTTAAATTTTTAAAAGGATATTTCTCACATTATCCTAAGAAACTGCTACAAAGAATATGAAGGAGAGAATTGGGTTTTTCTCCACTCTCCCCTTGTTGCCAGTGCTGTGTTTCTGGGTGATGCATGTGAAAATAGTCAGGGATGATTTTTCTTACAAGTAGTTCTGTGTTTATGTTTAAAAATTTTGGCCATGAAATAATAAATGTATTAATATTTTAACAAATATAAATGCTCTTGAAAATTAAAATGGTTGACTTTTCATAGACAGTGTGCTCATTATAAGTAACTAATGATTCTGAAACTTCTCGGTAGGAGTTAACAGAAGATAGGAGAGTGGTATAAGACTATGAAATGTCATCAGTGAAAAGTAGAAATGAAATTCTAGGATATTTGGTTGATGTTGCAAAGGTTCATATTTTACTTGTATTTTTTTTAAAGAAAAACTACATGAGGATATGTTCTAACAAAAACACCTCTTGATTTGGATACATATGTAATTTTTTAGAATTGACTTTTACATTAGAAATTGTGTAAATTCAAATGGGATGAAGGTTAGGGGAAAAGGTATCATGTGGATTTAAGAATACTGCTTAGATTTTGCTTCATAAAAATTCAAATTTGAGCCCTGGCTGGTGTGGCTCAGTGGATTGAGTGCCGGCCTGGGAACCAAAGGGTCGTTGGTTCGATTCCCAATTAGGGCGCATGCCTGGGTTGTGGGCCAGGTCCCCAGTAGGGGGCAGTTGAGAGGCAACCATACATTGATGTTTCTCCCCTTCTGTTCCTCCCTCTCTGCCCTCTAATAATAAATAAATGAGTCACTCTTTTTTTTTCCTTAAAGATTTTATTTATTTATTTTTAGAGAGAAAGGAAGGGAGAGAGGGAAAGAAACATTAATGTGTGATTGCCTCTTGCATGCCCCCTACTGGGGGCCTGGCCTGCAATCCAGACATGTGCCCTGACTCTGGTGCTCAATCCACTGAGCCACACCAGCCAGGGTTAAATAAGTCACTCTTAAAAAAAAAGTCAAATTTGATTTGTCAGGTCTTTTCCTGGTTAAGTTTGCATTTTGTTTACAAATCAGTCTTTTGAACTTACCAATATTCATAATTAAACCTTCCTGCTGGAAATAATTTTGTGTGTTACTATGTTTTGGGGAGGGGCTACTGGATTATATAAAAACTTTTAATCTCTGATTTGTCTTTTCTGCGTTTTCCTTTATTTGAGTTTTTCACTTTCTTATTATGGATTCCTTAAGCCTTTTAACCTCAGTCTGATGATTGGTTGGTTTCTTATACTAAGTGCCATGACAGAATCATTTATGGGCTATTAATTGTGTTAAGGATTAATAAAACATACATGTTAAGTATAACTTTTATACTTCATCATTAGTGTGATGTTACTCAGATTTACTTCCCTCCAATTTTGAAAAATACACTATGAATATGCTAAATATTTAACAATAATTATCTTTGATTTAAAAAATAACTGTTATTTGGCTATTATATTAGTGACTTGCATAGAGTAGTACACTAAAATCTTTGTAAGATAACTTTACCTGGGATGTATTTTAGGAATTTCAGTTTTTAAAAATATTTATAACTAAATTATTTTCCTAATTATTTATAAATCTTGGGCTCTGGGAGAAATATGGTTTATACAGAGTCTCATTAAATTTTAATATATTGAGTCTATCAGAAATGACTCATTTACGCAGAACTATATTTGTCTGAGTTTTCTTTCTCTTGCTTTTGTGTTGAGAAATTCAATGATGACTTTAAGTGGCAAGTTATATAAATCCATTTTATGTATAATTCTATGACTTTGAGCCAGCAGTTTGTTGACCTCATCCATTCTTAATGAAGATAGATTTATTTGACTTATAACGAGTGAAGGTGTAGTTTGTTCTGTCACTTTTCTTCCTCTAACGTCTGTCTTGATTTTTTAAAGTTGTGATGATAGACACTTGTTTGAATCTAGATGATTTACCTTTTTATGATCCAATTTATAGAATTTCACACTCATGTTTTCTTTTATGTGTCTTTCTCTCTAATTTTAGGATCCTCGTTGTAGTATTGCAGGAGAAAATCGCTGCCTTTGATAGCTGTACTTTCACAAAAAAATTTTTTGTCACAAGTATGTACCAACTTGATATATTTTCTATCATAAGCATTTGAGTTTATAGCATTTACTTGGTAGAATCAGCAAACTAATTGTAATCATAACATCATTTTCATAGTATTAAATTATTATATTTCTTTGTTTCTGTGGATGTCTTCTTCAGTACTCTAATTTCTAATTTTATAGTGTTTTATTTCAAACCACATTTCCTACATATTGCTAAGCAAGCCTTGTACAATACTGCCTCAGTTTCTTCATATATATTTTCCTTGAGTTGCTGTGGTTAACTTAGGTTCATAGAACCGTGTCGTACTTTCAGAACAGTTGATTAATTTTCATAACACGCTTAAGGTAACTGTAACTGTCTTGCATGAGACATTTGAAAATGGATGAAATGTGTGAGTGTGGCTCTTTCCCTCCTCCTTTCACCCACATCCCATTACTTCTGCTGTTGCCCCAAAGTTCAAAACTAAGCATGGAATCTGGATCTAAACACACATGCAGGGAGAGAGAGGGATTGAGGGTTTTTGTTGCTGTTGTTGTTGTTTTAAGGAAAACTGGCTAGTCTAGGATTGGTGGGAAAGGCCAGAAGAATGGAAATTCCAGCAGGAATTGATTTGGAACAAAGTCTGAAGTTTATAATACTATAGTGTAATAAAACAGTAGTTTTCACTCTTGTTTTTTATGTTTTAACCTCCACAACTCACTGTTGAAGCTACAGTAGGTTTTCCAGAGTTGGTACATATGTGCTCACACAGAGTTCTGTTGGAACAGAACAGATCTCAGTTTCGTTGTGACCAGGGAATCCCCGATCATATTGCTGCATCTCCTGGAAAATCGCACCTGTTTGCAGTGCATTGTGCTGTGATTGGTTTCACAGGTTTCTCATCTCCTGTTGGGGAGAGTATAAGCTGGCATAAACTAACTCTATAGGCGGCAATTTGAGGAAATCTACCAAAATTTGGATTATATCAACACTGACCCATTAAGGCATTATTTTTATTAAATTGCTTTAATTAATTTTTTAAAAAGTATAGTTGACATACAATGTTATGTTAGTTTCAGGTATAGAAATAGTGATTCAACATTTATATAACTTCTGATGTTGATTGCCATGATATCTATTAACCCGCTGTACAAAATATGTACAAAATTATTGACTCTATTTCCTGTGCTGTACATTACATCCCTCTGACTTAATCATTTTATAACTGGAGGTTTGTACCTCTTATTCCTCTTCACCTATTCCATCCATTTTCTCCTCCCTTTTACTCTATCAGCTATCAGTTTTTTCTCTGTATCTCTCAGTCTGTTTTTTAAAAATTCTACATATAAGTGAAATTATATGGTATTTGTCTTTCTCTTATTTCACTTAGCATAATATCAGTGTTGTCACAGATGACAAGATTTTATTGCTTTTATGGCTAAGTAATATTCTATCATGTGTGTGTGCATCACATTATCTTTATCCATTCATCTGCTGATGGGCACCGATGCGGCTTCCATGTCTTACTTAGCCATGGTAAATAATGCTGCAGTGAACATAGGTTGCATACCTTTTCAGATTAATGTTTTCATTTTTTAAAAAATTAATGTTCAGCCCTGGCTGGTGTGACTCAGTGGATTGAGTACCCACCTGTGAACCAAAGGATAGCCAGTTCAATCCCCAGTCAGGGCACATGCTTGGGTTGAGGACCAGCTTCCCACTGAGGGCACGCGAGAGGCAACCACATAGAGCTGTTTCTCTCTCTCTCTTTCTCTTTCCCATCCTCGCTCTCTAAAAATAAATAAAATCTGGAAAAAAAGAAGTTAAAAAAAATTAAAAATAAGTGCCCAGAAGTAGAATTGCTGAGTCTTATGGAAGTTCTAGTTTAATTTTTTGAGGAACTGCCACACTGTTTTTCCTAGTGGCTGCACCAGTTTACAGTCCCACCGGCAGCACACGAGAGTTCTTTTTTCTTCACATCCTGTCCAACTTGTTTGTTGACTTTGGAAAAATGTCTGTTCAGGTCCTGTGTCCATTTTTTAATTGGAGTACTTAATTTCTTGTTGTTGAGTTGTGTGAGTTCTTTATATATTTTGGATAGTAGTCCCTGGAGTATTGTTTGCAAATTTTCTCTCCTCTTTTGTTGGTTTTCTTTGTGTTTTGTTGGTGGTTTCTTTTGCTGAAGAACCTTTCTGGTTTGATGTAATCCCACTCATTTATTTATTTTTACTTTTATTTTCCTTGTTTCTGGGGGGTCAAATTTATAGTCTTCTCTGAGACCCAGATCTGTAAGTTTAGTACCCACCTTTTCTTCTATATGTTGTATTGTTTCAGGCCAGTTTTTAGGACTTTGATCCGTTTTGAGTTAATTTTTGCATACGGGGACAAAGAGCGGTCTAGTTTCATTCTTTTACATGTGGCTTTCCAATTTTCCCAGGACCATTTATTGAAGAGGCTTTCTTTTCACCTTTGTGTGTTTTTGGATCCATTGTTGAAAATCAGTTGCCCATATACATATAGGTTTGTTTCTGAATTCTCAAATCTGTTCCGTGGATATTGTTTTGATTATGTACTAACATGCATTTAATTTCTAAAATACTTTTAAAAACTCTTGTGTAATCCAATTGTGAGTACCTTAGTTACGTATGAATCAGGACTGTAAAATTAGTAGAGACAGCTGTGCCCATCAGAGAAGGCATCTTGGGAATTTGTGCCAAAGGGTAGAAGGATCAGGTAAAGGGAGCTGATAGATAACTTGGAAGGGAATGCAGCCAATATGATGAGAAAGGAGACACCTTTGTATTTGGCTGTACAGAAAAGGTGGCCTTGAGCAGCTGTCTGATGTGGAAATCCAAACCCATGTATACTTAAGAAACAAAAGACAAAGACTGATAGATGTCATTAGCAGTCATTTTCACTGTGCTTAAATTGAAAGGTAGATATGAAGTCTCCAGAGAGACCAAGGGATTGTACAGTAAGTAAGTAACTCTTTCCATTTCCCGTTTTTACTTTAAGAAGGAAAAGAAATACCTTATAGTCCTAATGTTATTTCTTAGTATTAGTATGTATTATTCATCTATGTTAATGATGAATAAGAAATGTAAGGGATTGTTTTAAAGGACATTTAAAATGCAAAATTATTTTTAATTTTCAGAAGAGGAGGCTTCTTATATTTAGAAACAAATTTGTAAATTTTTAAAAAAGGGTTTGGAAGGTTAATGTGAGTGAGATCTAAGCCCAGGTCAAGTTAAAAGTCAAATCTATTCCTGTTCTTTTGGTTACCCATTTGTATACAATGTTCTTTTGGTTACCAATTAGTATACAATTTGTATACAAGGCTGCCATGGTTTCACAGCCTGGGCAGGTGCCTGATACTCGTGGACACTTGGTAAATGTGTGTAGTGAATTGACTTATGAATTTCTTATCCACTGTCCCTCCTTCTCACCCATTCAGCCTTAAAATGGCAGTACTCTTTAATTCATGATGTTTCATAAACATGAAAAATAAAATAAAAATGAATAAAAGGTCATGGAACTTTAGGAAGGTCATTAATCAGTTGTAAGATGGTCAAACAAATCTCTGAAGTGTTGCATATTTTTTTGTGCTTATATGTCTTTCAGTAGAGCATGTTCGTAGTCTTTTCTAGATTTCATATAATATGAGGGGGGTACCCCCCAAACCCTGAATTTATTTATAAAAAATTGTGTATTTGTTCTTCACACTTAAACTTCAGTTACCTTCAAAGTACTCTCCATTTGATACAATACACCTATTGAGATGTGTTTTTTTTTTTTCAAAACACCTGCTCAAAACAGGTGTTGAACTAGTTGATTTTTTGATGCCTGTTTAGTGCTTTTCCTGTTTTTTGTTTTACCTCTTTCACATTGGGTTGCTCAGGTTGAGATTGGGTGAGTAGGGAGGGAATCAGGGTCATGTTGATTTTGGTCAAAAACTGCTGAATTCTCAGTGCAGTATGAAGGGTGCACTTGTAAATTACCCATCATCAAATGGCAAATGCATTGAAAGAATCTTCAGAAAAAAAATTCACTGAAGCCGAACGTAGCCTCTCACAACCATGCCAGCTGGTACACTGATACAGATGGGTCACTCACCGGGGGTGGGGGTGGGGAGAAGCCTGTACTATAAGGCACCTGCCCTCCAGAAGATAATTCCAGTTGTTTTGGGGTCCTCCCTCATATATCAGTATAAAATAAGAAGTGGTTTTGTAGAATTGTCTTTTTTCTTTCTGGGTGGTGTCCTTTGAGGCACATAAGATTAGTTTGGATGAAGTCCAATTTATCTATTTTTTCTTTTATCACTTGTTATTTTTGAAGCCATATCTAAGAAAGCATTGTCTAACATAAGGTTATAGATATCTGCCACTATATTTTGTTATAAGAGGGTAATAAATTTGGCTTTCTAAGACTTTGATACATTTATAGTTAATTTTAAAAAATGTATTGATTGATTGATTTTAGAGGGAGAGGGAGAGAAACACTGATTTGTTGTTCCCCTCATTGATACATTCATTGGTTGATTCTTGTAAGTTTTCTCTTTGGATATCAAACCTGCAACCTTGGTGTATTGGGACAACTCTTTATCCAGCGGAACTATCTAGCCAGGGCCTTAGAGTTAATTTTTGTATACTGTGTGAGATCAAAGTTCAGTATAATTTTTTTGCACGTGGATATCCTTTTGACCCATCGTCATTGTTGAACAGACTATTTTTTTCCCATTGACATGTTTTGGTACCCTTGTTGAAAGTCGGTTGATCTTAAATTCAGACATCTGTTTTCTTTTCTTTTCAAAACGGTCTGAAATCTTTTGAGTTGTTCTTACCAAGAAAAATAAGGCCGTGTTATGAGAATAGTTAAATCCTTGGTTTTTCAAAATGAGTTCAAGTCAACTCTCCACTTGGACAAGGTTCTAGGAGGATGCCATCTAAATTGTATCAGCCTCATGTGTGTTGTCTTTTACTTTGTTCACACACATTATAAACATATTAGAATTAGTCTGCGTATTAGAGTGGTTTGGGTTTTTTTCTCTTCACTTGTTTTCAAAGTTTAGCTGGAGGCAGCAGTTAATCTTTAAAGGAGTCATGCTTATAAAGTTGGGACAGTGCTGAGTGGCTGATGTTCTGCTGATTCCAGCTGTAGAATGTTTTTAGAAGAGCACAAAAACAATTTGCTTTTATTCCAATACACTGTAATTCTTGAAGCCACTGATTTCTAAAAACATTGACTCAAAAAGTAAAATGAAAAATTGTTAACTATATTTTTACATAGTATCCTTTTATTTGAGAAAGGAGAATGTATTTATTATTTATTAGGATCTAGTGAGACAAAATAGTTATCAGAATTGAGAATTAGATTATATTGACTTTAAAGTTCAGGAGATTAACTACCTTTTAAATAATGCCATAGTATACAAGTATTTATTCTTTTTTTTGTTTGTTTGTTTGTTTTCTCCACAATATTTAAAGAGGGAACTTTTTTTTTCTTTAATTATTTTTCAAGTATAGTATTCTGTCTTTTACTCTCATCCCAGCCCACCCCTGACCGTGCTCCCCTCCTCCCTCCCATTTCCACCCCCTTTAGTTGTTGTCCATGTGTCCTTTATACTAGTTCCTGTAAAAAAAGGGGGAACTTTCTTATAGACCATATATATTTTTTAATTTTAAAAGTTTTTTTCAAATATTTTATTTATTAATTTTTAGAGAGAGGGGAAGGGAAGGAGAAAGAGTGGGAGAGAAACATCAATGTGTGGTTGCCTCTCATGTGGCCCCTGCTGGGAATTGGCCTGCAACCCAGGCGTGTGCCCTGACTGGGAATCGAACCGGTGACCCTTTGCTTCAAAGGCCCGTGCTCAATCCACTGAGCTACACCAGCCAGGGCTTTATAGACCATATGTATACTAATCATTTCTCTAGCTCTGAAAATATCTGTGGAATATAAGTCCACATCTGTGGAATGTATATATATGTACATTTTTATATGAATGTAAGATTAGTTTACTCAATGGGAGTATAATGATATGTTATCTAAATACTGATAACCTTAGTTTGATCCTCTAGTGTACATTTTAGAGAAACATATTTGTGAAAATATTAACTAGATTCTTATGGGATGATAAACCAGCAGTCCTGTAGGTTAGGCCTTTTGCGTTCTTTGATTTTGAAGTATTTTAGTGGGCCTTTGTCCTGTGTGTTTGGCCATAATCAACACTGAGTGGATATAGTAATATCCCAGTTACCCAGAGGTCAATTTTCCAAAAACCCAAAATATCACAAAGATACCCCTTCAGACCATGAAATAAAAAAAAGTTTTTTAAACAATATGCAAAATTATAAAGCTCATCTTATTTTTAGTTATTATTTTTTTGACACGGCATGTGGACTTTCTCTTAGGTTCATTATCTTTTTTGTAATAAGTATTTTATTCTTCTTTAAAAATGAAAACTCAGAATAGATGGCGGGTGCAGGAGGTAATATGACAACTGCTGTGTAGTGAAAGCAGCATCAGTGTGGCTTCTTCAGTGTTGTGAGCACAGCAATACCCAAATTTCAAAGTGATGACCACTGCCATTCAAGGCTGTCTGAATTCAGGGAACCATGTAATATATGTTGAAGGAAGATTTCTATTAAATATGACTTTCAAATAAAATATCTGGCTTTCAGCTGAGCACATAATTTGAATATTTGAAAAATGTTCTTTTGTAGATGACTTTTTATTTGCCAATGCCTTGTAAAAATGCTTTAGGTACATGGTTTAGTTCAAATATCTTATTAACCTATTTTTTTTCAGGCATTGTTCTAGGCAGTGGAATCTCCACTGCCTAGAACAAAAAAAAACCCCCACAAGTCATTGACCGTACATCTCTCTGATCAAGTGGGAGTGAGATAGAAAAAGTCATAAATATATCACGGAACATAAAGTTGTTTTTATTTTTGAGAGTATATGTCAAAGTAGTTAAATATTTTCTTTTTATTAATAAATGTGCTTTTGAATGAACTATCATACATTGATTATTCCTTTTAGGATCAATAACACATACTGAGGCTTCCTGCTAGGTAGTGTATATGTGTGGGCAGTGTAGTTTGCAATTTAGAAATACGGTTTTTGCTACTATGTTCAGGTAGTTCGTGTAATTTGGCTAATTTTTTCCCATGGGAAGAAAGGGCATTGCTGTAAAATCTTTGGCTCATGATTATATAAATTTACAATCCAAATTGGGATTTAAACTAAGAAATAGGTAACCTCAGTTTGATCCTCTAGCGTACATTTTAGAGAAGCACATTTGTGAGAATATTAACCAGATTTTGGAATGATAAACCAGGAGTCCTTTAGTTTAGACTTTTTACGTTCTTTGATTTTGCAGTGTCTTTCAACTAAGTCCCCTTAAAAAGCAGTTTTGTGAAAACAGAAACAGACTCATAGATACAGAGAACACTGCTGGTTGTCAGAGGGGAGGAGTGTTAAGGGAGGGAGTGGGTAAAAAGGTGAAAGGACTGAGAAATACAGATTGGTAGTTACAAACTAGCCACAAGGGCATACACTACAGCATAGGAAATATAGTAAAAATTATTATAATAGCTATGTATGGTGCCAGTTGGCTTCAGGAAATATCAGGGGGCATACTTTGTGAAGTATATGATAGTCTAGCCACTGTGACATACACCGGAATCCAACACGAAATCATACTGAATGTCAGTTGTAACTGAAAAAAAATTAAAATAAAAAGCAGCTTTGTGAGACAGTGAGTATTGCTTTGTGTAGTTGATAGATGAAGGTGATATATAACCTGAAGAGACTTTATTGGCATGTGAGAGGGGCGATAAGCGCCTCTAGGATGGCAGACATCACTTACTTGACTAAATTTTGTATTTCTTGGTTAGCAGAGTTCAAGAAGAGGGCATTGGTGTTTCCATGCATGGCTGGTTTTCACTGTCAGGGATATGTGATTTGTCCTTGCTGAAATGAAAAAAACCTCAAAATATTCCTTTCTACTATTTTGTTATTCGCTAGGCTGAAGACAAGAAAAATTCACTTGAGTGGTTAATGTTAATTGTAGGATTATGTAAATAATTCCCTGACATCTTTTTAATGATGCACCTTTTGTGGATTACTTCTCTTTGACCCCATACTTAAATTCTTGTTCCCCCACATCCTCGCCCCCATAGTATCTTCATTTCTTTTTAGGTGTTTGTCTTCCTTATCATTTATCCTTAAAGTCCTGAACCAACTGTATGCTTCCTCTTTCCTTTCCAAACATTATTGCTTGACTCATGAAGTTGTAGACTTATGAACTTGAAATGTTTCTTCTTAGCTTTTCTCTTGTTGTATGAATAGCTGTGTAAAATGGTGGGGGGGTTGTTTTGTTTTGTTCTTTTACAAAAAGTTATTACCAGTTCCTCCCAGATTTGTTTCTTATTTGAAAAAAGTCAAAACCAAAGGGAAACTGTATAGGAGAAAATAAAGAACCTAATCTATTAAAATAATAGCTACTATTACGGGGATTTTGTGTGCAACTTGAAAAAAATGAAAGCATTTGTTTTGTCTGTTTCAGTGGCATCAGGATATGGTGTATCAACAAAATTTATTAAGAAATTTCTCAATATTGGTTTTTGAAATTTTTCAGGCTGCTATCCTTGTCCAGGGCCCAACATGAACCCCATTGCCCTTGGGAGCCGCTGGCTTGCTTATGCAGAAAACAAGGTAAGGCGTGGCCCATGTGTGGGTTACTGGCAATGGACAGGTGTTCCAGAATTTTTCCAAAGTGATTACCAACCAGTAATGAACTTTTAATTTACTAGTTTTCTTTGATTTGGCTTTGGTTTTAGTTGGACACCTAATAATTGTCTTATATCCCTTGTTGCTTAAAATCAGTATTTAGATGGAACCTTAATTTTCTATGCTTAGTTTTATATAGAGAACTTTACTTCATTAATCTTAAAGCACAGCATTGGTGTTACTAGTGCTGATTCTGTGGAGCTAAAAATCAGGAATCAGGAATGATTTCTGTCCTATTGGCAGATTGGGAAACTGAGGCATAGAATAATTTAATGTACTGCAACTACTTGTCTATAAGTAAAACTGTAAATGAGAGTTCAAAACATTTGTCTTAATAATTAAATCACAGATAGTCACATTTTGTTGAATTTTCCAGTTATTGATCAATTTCAATGATCTATTAAGGTCATCATAGTAAGTGAGGCTATTATATTTATATACTGAAAGTTTTGTTTATGTCCAAATCAAAGCAAAAGGCACATTTGGATTTTCAGAAGGAAAAAATGGCCCTGGCCAGTGGGGCTCAGTTGATTGGAGCATGGTCCTGTACACTGACTGAAATGTTGCAGGTTCCGTTCCCAGTGAGGGCCAGGTTTTGACTTAGATCCCCTGCTGGGGAGCCTATGAGAGGCAACCAATTGATGTTTCTCTGTTCCAATGATATTTCTCATACTTTTTCTCTTTATCGCCCTCTCCCTCTTTCTTATCTCTCCCCCTGTGTTTATATTTTCCTTTCCAAAGTACTGCATAGTATATGTGCTTTTTTGTACATTTTTTTCACTTAGCAATATTTCCTGTAAATTAGTCCATTTAATAGAGTTTTGCACTACAGGAATTTTTAATTTATCTGTAATTTTGAATTGAGATGAAAATGTAATTTTCTAATGATTCTAAGCTTTAAACAAAAATTTCTGGGTTAATTATGTTTATGTAAAAGGGCTGACTTAATTACCTAGGGCAGAAGAAAGACGATGTTTCCATGATAATGTCTTTCCTTGCGCTCATGGGAGGAGGCAATAGAGGGATGGTTTTCATAATTCTTTTGAATGTGAGTGAATGAATGAACGAGTGAGTGAGATTATTAACCAAAACAGTCATTTTCAAATTCCCTATTTTTCCTTATGTGAAGCCACATTTACTGATCACCTGTCATTTGGAAAATTCCTCACTGTTGACCTTGAAATCTACTTAAGCAACCATTCAATATAGCAACTTGACATCTGACATCAGGCTTTTAAAACTATTTCCTTTTAATATATGTATTGTTACTGCTTTGGGGGATTGTTTTTAAATACATTGTCAGTGAATTATAAAATTTTGATTATCGAATAAAATAATAAAAGGTTTAAATGTTAGTCTTTATCAAATTACCTGGTTTTAAATTATGTAAAGCATTTTTTGTTCTTTTATTTTGGGAGAGGTAGATTCTTTCTGAATTCTAGGGCTGTTAATAATTCAAATCACAACATGGAGCTGTTCTAATACTCTTTTATTGCTATTTCATTAAAAGTTTGAATATGCGCTGGCTGGGTGGCTAATTTGCTTGGAGTCTTCTCATATACCAAAAGGGTGTGGGTTTGGTCCCCAGTCAATTTATGTATGGGAGGCAACTGATCGATGATTCTCTCTCTCTCTTTCTCTTTCTCTGTTTAGAATTAATAAATATATATTTGGTGAGGATTAAAGTGTAAAAATTTGTCTAATTATATATATATATGTGCATATTATTTATTTATTTATTTATTTTTACTAAATATACGAAATATAGGGAGAGTGCAGAATTTAATCCGGGTTTATTGCTCAGCACATGAGAGAATCACTCTTGTCAAACTAGTGATTCACTTTGAACATTGGCAGGTTGATTTATTTACATCAGGCATGAATGAGGGCATGTCTTTTTCAATCTAATGGTAGAACTAGTAAGCCCTCTGAAGTGGACAGCTACTACATGTGTCATAGTTGATCTGTGCATAATTTGTTCCCCTTTTCCACCAACACAATTGAAAATGAAAATATAGCACAATCTTTCATCTATTTTTTCAAGTTCCTTTTGCAATCTTAATGAAGGAATTAAGAGGACAAAACCTCTAATTTGCTAGCCTGTTAAATATTTAATGTTAGGAAGTCATGTCTAAGTCCTTTGATTATATTTCTAAATTTTATTTGTGGAAAGGCAGCCAGAGCCCATATTCTACCATTGGGAGTTTATGAATTCTTAAAGATTATTCATCTTGTAATTAAAAACTGTATTTGTGCACGAAACGACCCGAGTGTCACCAGCAGATTATAAAAAGGCTAAAAGTGCCTGAGCACGGCTTTTGGCTGTTTGTAAGAAATACACTTGTACAAACATTCCCACCCACCACCATCATTATGCATGGTAAATAAGCTCTATCCTAATACCCTGTAGATTTAAACAGTTTAATAGAAATGACTTTCTGGTTTCTCTCTCGCTCTTTTTTCCCAGTTGATTCGATGTCATCAGTCCCGTGGTGGAGCCTGTGGAGACAACATTCAGTCTTACACTGCCACAGTCATTAGTGCTGCCAAAGTGAGTATTCAGTAGTCTCTGAGAGTCTTATTGTGTGTAGTAATTATCAAGTTTCTTTGCTGAACTGGATCGAGATTTTCTCTTCCATTTTCATTCACAAGTGTAATAAACTTAAGAAGTAAGACAGACTTATTTTGTCACTCATGAGAATTGGTGACTAAATGATTAGGTTCTTAATTTCTTAAGATTTATAAACAATACTTTATTTTCTATTGTAATGATTATAGGGTTTGTAGTTACCTAATTTTAAATATTTAAGTCGGCTAGCTAGATTAAAGTCTTATGTAATTATTTCCACTTTTGAAAGAAGCTATGTTGTAAGTAGTAACTTTTAGACTTTCTTTGGTGTGATTTGCATTATTCGACCCATACTAAAGTTCGTTTGTGTCTTTGAATGTTTATGAGTCGTTCTGACACAAAAAAAAATAGTATTCCTTCAGAAAACTTGAGTCCAATCCCTGACACATTGAAAGATTCTTGTCTGTCCCAGGGCTGCCCCCTGCACATTTGTCACGTGAGTTCTTTTTGTGCGTGTGTGGTAGGGTTAATTTTGATGAAGGCTCGTAAACTTTATGCTGATTATAAGGTATTTTTATAATCACTATCCTTTTGAATTCTGAAGTATACAACAAAACAAATCTAATAATAGGGATGACATAGTGAATCTAAATGACAGCATGTAATAAAAAGCACAGCTATTCAGAAAAGAACAACAGTTTAAAGCAAACCACAGGGAGGGAATCATAGGTCACACTGTTTTTATGTAAAACAAATACAAAAATACTTCAAGATTGATCACAAATGCTTATATGGTGTGCTTTAGAATGTGCTCCTTGGTTTGATGAGGAATTAAATATTTTTAATTCAGAAGCTAAATACTGAATGTCTTTAGGCTTTCAGCACTATATATTTTACATTTGGGAATCTTTGTAAAAATGGCTACTTCTCTCCATTGTGTATGCCAAAATTATGATGGTTATTTCAACGATGAGAAATCTGAGACAGCAAATAGTCAGCAGCAGTGTTAATCAGTTAGTTTATAATAGATCCATTTCTCAATTATTAGATTCTTTTTAGACTTATCTGTCATACACTTGCATTAGGATAGCTCATTGCATTGTCATATTGAATAATTTTCAGTTATGTGATAGAGGATAGTTTTTCAGCTCTTCTTTGCTGTATTTATGTTTTTGTGTGCCTACATAAAAGAATGATCTGCTTCATTCAGTAACTGTTAAGCTGTTTAACTGTTAGCTGAAATTGGACTTGCTGGAATGAGACTAGACTACATATGCTTTGAAAAGAACAAGGCTGAACTTCCTACTTTTTACACTCCAGTATAGCAAACTATGAGGAAAATACACCTATCTTCAACATTTAAACCGGAAAAAATGACATCAGTGATAAGACCCTCCAGTCAGTTTCCAGTAGACAGTCTCCAATGAAATTAGTATTAATTGAAATTCATTGTTAGCTCTGGCAATATGTAAAATTCTTCCATTTGCACTTGAAAAAAGTGATTAATATTCAATTTTTGTTAATTGCTTATGCTTGATTTTAATGCTTATTCATGTTTGTGTTTGTAAATTTATAAAATGTAGGAAAATATAACTGTGAACATGTCACCCATTTCTTTTATAATTTTTTATTTAAGATGTTTTCCAATTACAATTTACATTCAGTATGATTTTGTATTACAGCATGGTCAGGCCGTCAGATCTTTACAAAGTGTTCCTCTTGATACATCCAGTACCCGCACACGGTTTACAGTATTATTGTCACCATTTCTTGACAGTTTTCACACAGTCAATTCATATATTGTACCCTGCTCTTTGGACTTACTAACTTAAATATTATGAGATATTTTTGAAAAAAATTTTTATTTATGTTTATCTATGTACTTACAGACTTCTGTGTTAGAAAGCATGAATATTTTGAGTTGAAAGAAAATACTGTCCAATTATTTTTCTAAAATCCTACCAGAAACAGAATGAGCCTTGATTTCACTTGGATATTTTATTTAGGAAAGATTGGAAAGTTGGGATGATTCCTACCCCGACCTCTGATGGTAATTTCTCATAGTAAGTTATTGGATATTAGAAAGTTTGTGGGTCAATTTGCCTTCTGAGGTATAAAGCAGTTGAAGGTTTACATGGTAAATACATGAAAATTTCAAGTACTTCACTTATAAATACATCTTTTTGTGTTTTAATCATTACTTTATATATTATATTCCTATTATATTAGTGTACTTATTTGTGAAAATACATTATGATGTACACTTATAATTCCTGTAGGTAGTGGTATAAGGGGGTGTTAAAATTTCCCAAGAAAAGAAAAATCTCACAGAGATATCTTCATACCCAGAAACCTCCAGAGAATTCTAACATTTGAGAATAAATAATGGCAATATTAGAAATATTCTTTCATAGAATAAAATAGTCTGATTACACCTAATCTTGTTTTATGGTGCCACATCACCTTGATACAAAAACGTGACAAGAACATAATGAGAAGGGAAGACCATGGTCCTGTCTTAACTCATGAACATATGTATGAAAAATTGTAAACAAAAAGCTAGCAGAAAAAAGGAAGCAGTATATGATAAGAATAATGTTGCATAATCCATTTGGGAAAATTCCACACTGTAATTCCACAGTGCATATGACTGTAAGACTGCTTTATTACTCAAAAATCAATTAGTGTAATTTGCCATATTAACAGATTAAAGGAAAAAAAGATGATTATCTCAATATATGCTCAAAACGAATTCAGTAAAATCAAACATATGCACTGATGAAATATTTTAGTAAATAGTCCATTTCTGATTCTCTAGAATTCCATTTTTTTCTAATTATAAAATTGTTTAAATATAGTAAACATGGTTATTTTTAAGTATGGTTCTGATAATTCCAGTGTCTGGTTCTGTTTTTCAGAGCTGACTACTTGGTTACCAAAGTTGATTTCAAAAATCTTTAAAAACAATTTTGAGATAGGGATGATACCACAGTTCTGTAGCACTATTAGTCCTGAACCATCTTAATCTAGTTTCAGGGATTGAGATTACTTAAACTATTTATTTATTATTATTATTTTTAATTTTTAAAAATCTTATTGATTATGCCATTACATTTGTTCTATTTCCTCCTTCATTCCCCTCCACCCTGCACACCCCTCCCTCACCATTCCTCCCCTTTAGTTCATGAACATGTGTCTCAAGTTCTTTAGATTCTGTATTTCCCATACTATTCTTACCCTCCCCCTATCTATTTTCTGTCTACTGTCTATGCTACTTATTTTCTGTACTTTCTCCCCCCTTCTCCTTCTCCCACTCCCTCGTTGCTAACCCTCCACATGATCTTCATTTCCATGGTTCACCCCTGATCTAGCTGTCCCCTTAGTTTGCTTTTGTTTAAGGTGCGGTTCTTAATAAGTGTGTTTGCTGTCCTTTCACTGTTCATCTTTTTTATCTTCTTTTTCTTAGGTAAGTCCCTTTAACATTTCATATAATAAGGGCTTGGTGATGATGAACTCCTTGAATTTGATCTTATCTGAGAAGCACTTTATCTGTCCTTCCATTCTAAATGAAGGTTTTGCTGGATAGAGCAATCTTGGATGTAGGTCTTTGGATTTCATGACTTGGAATATTTCTTTCCAGCCCCTTCTTGCCTGTAAGGTCTCTTTTGAGAAATCTGCTGACAGTCAGATGGGAACTCCTTTGTAGGTGACTGTCCTCTTATCTATTGCTGGTTCTAGGATTCTCTTCTTCATTCTAATCTTGGCTAATGTAATGATGATGTGCCTTGGTGTGTTCCTTCTTGGGTCCAACTTCTTTGGGACTCTCTGAGCTTCCTGGATTTCCTGGAAGTCTATTTCCTTTGCCAGATTGGGGAAATTCTCCTTTATTATTTGTTCAAATAAGGTTTCCACTTGTGGCTGTTCCTCTTCCCCTTCTGGTACTCCTATAATTTGGATGTTGGAACGTTTAAAGATGTCCTGGAGGTTCCTAAGCCTCTCCTCACTTTTTCAAATTCTTGTTTCTTCATTCTTTTCTGTTTGGTCATTTTTTCCTTCCTTCTGGTCTACTCCCTTGATTTGAGTCCCAGTTTCCTTTCCATCACTATTGGTTTCCTGTGCATTTTTCTTCATTTCAATTAGTTTAGCCTTCATATGTTCCTCTAATTTGTGACTAAAATCAACCAGTTCAGTGAGCATCCTGATCACCAGTGTTTTGAACTATGCATCTGAAAGTTTGGCTATTTCTTCATCGCTTAGATTTATTGGATCTGGGGCTCTGAGTTGTTCTTGAGCCATGTTTTTATCTGTTCGCGCCCGTTAAGTATGAGGAGAGGCGCCTTAGGTGTTCACCAGGGCGGGGCCACTCTGGTCTTTGGTTTGTGATGCTGTATGTGGGGGCGGGGCCAGAGAGGGAGCAATGGCGGTCCTCTCTGCTTTAAATAAAGCTCACCTGAAATAGCTCTGAGAGCCTGATTACTACAAGATCACTCATACATCTACTGTATATCCTTTTATGTTCCATCCCAAAGTATGGAATGATGGTCACCAGGCTTGAGCATCTTGAACAAGGCCAAGTAGTTCCACAAGTCTATCAAAAACACTACTCATTCTCTTAGCAACTCTCTCAAGAATCATCAAATGCATGTAGGACTAAAATATCTTGTTCATATGCACGGGTTTCCTTATTCTCTTGGATCTAGAGCTAGTGATGCTTCACTATCTTGTTAAATATTCAGTACCTTCAAACAGAGTTTTAAAAAAGTTTCTCCTCAGTTTTACTCCTTGTTTTCACTGGGGGATTAATCTTATTTACCTAGACTGTCATTGAAAATAGAAAACAAAATTCTTATTATTTCGTACCATTTTTATCATTTCTATGTAAAATAATGTTTTTTGAGATATAACATGGAAATCATTTTAAAAAGGCAGGTACTATGTGCTTAAGAAGATGCTTGTCTTAAAGTAAATTCACATTCATTTCATGATTATATCACTTTCTCTGAAAGAGTAATTAATATTTTTCTCTCTCTGATGACAGCTTCTTATGTCACTTCATAGAGGGTACTTAACCAGTTTGTTATACAGAAGGATTAATTTTTTAATTTTTACTTTTTTTTCTTATTGTATGATCGTAAGTATAAATATATTAATTGTATATGTACTTGGTTCTCCTCCAGCAATACCCTTTTCACAATTTCTGGGTTTTCAAGTAGCACTTAAAATTAATGTTCATACTTTTAGATTTTTCCCTTTGAGTTTCAAAATAACTATTTGTCTTTTCTTAAGAATAGAGCAGTGATGAATTCTCTGTGGTGGTGATAAAGGAAAAAAATTAATATTGAAATTGTTCCAATTGGGTTATTTTGATACATTTATAAAATCTCGTTTTATATTTTCTGGTTACAATTGCCCTATTTGAGGTTTCCTTTTAGTGTGTTTTAACCCCAGTGTGATAAATTGATTTAATAAAAATGCTCCTATTTTCTCCCGTTATCTGATAACTTCTTAATGACAACTAACAGGTTTTGTGAGAGCAGCCGCATTAGCACTAATGGACAGGGAGGACAACTGATATGGCATGAGAAAGGTTAAGGATGACTAGTGACCCTTTGGCAAATCTGTCTGCAACAGAACAAAATAAGTTCCATGCTGATTTGAATATTTGGCCATAGTGGATTATCTCACATTTGTTATAAACTTAATGTTCAGTTTTCTTGCAGGTAGTTTTGTGACTACTCTTAAGATTATTTATGTATATAATGAACTGTTTAATTTAGATAACACAGGTTTTGAGGACACTCCTTCTAAATTAATACCTCCAATTGGCCTAATTAGTTTTTTTTATTTTTAACTTTTTCTTAGCCTCCACCCATTTTTGTATGTATTTGAGGAAATCATCAGGTATACACATACCATATCTACCAAAATGTAGTGAAAAGTCTAAGTACATAGTGAACTGACTTAGATATATAAATATGCTGTGTAAAAATTATTAAATAAAATGACACATTTTTTCTGGACACCAGTGCTCACTGATGTGCCAAGGAAACACATTTCTGCTAGCAGCAAAGGTCTTTACTAATGTGGAAAGTGTCTAGCACGCCTCTCTCACCTCCTGCATTAGACCTTATTTGGAAGATAGCGAGCTATTGTAGATAGTACTATCTTGTCACTTACTACACGAAGTGCAGATTTGATGATTGTTAAATTTTAATAAGATGACCCCACTGGTGGTCATTATTTCTTTTTATGAGAAATAGCTATAACTCTTCATGTAATAGGAGCATTTGACTAATATATATACTACCCTGCCCGTACTGCTTCCCCCACCCTGGCTTTTTTCTTCATTCTTTCATATAAACTTTCCCATTTATCTTGTGGTTTGCTTTGGTACATTGTTTCCCACTTTCTGTGTGCTCCAGTTATTTTAGTTTATTCCTATTCATTGGTATGAGAGCATGAAATAATACGCCCAAGGGCAAATGGGGAAGACATACAAGCTAAGACTTTAAATCTGAAAGGCACTTCTTTGATAAAGGGGTAGCTCCCTTTAAGTGGGAGCATCTCCATTAGCATTAATGGAGTAAGTACATCAGCTGAAGCATCTCAGAGGTTAATAAGGCTTCCTGGCTGGCTTCTGACATCAATACACTGTGGCGCCTGATTTTGTTGGTCCTTCAGAGGCTTTCTTGACAACAATCTAACAGACTCTGTGTAAGTCATTTCTTGTGAATTATTGAAACAAATGTTTGGCTGCTAATTGAGGAATGCTACTGTGTTTTATAATCATTGCAGTTTGAGTTTTTTAGCACTAAACAAAACAGTTATAATTGATTTGTGGCTTTTTCCTGGTTTCAGTCAGCTGTAAGTTGTATCTTTTTGCTTGAATTTAGCAAATGGATTTGCTGGTCATTTATTTAAGTATTTATTAAGATACACTATTATGGTCTTCATCCCCCACCCCTCCCCAGTATGTGTGTGTTCTGAATTCATGAGGTGTGAGATCACAAGTAGTAACAGGAATAGATTACAAGGAAATACTGATAGTGGTTAAAACCACGCTTTGGAGATAGATAGACATAGTTTTAAAGATCTGGCTTTGTCATTGGCTAGCTGTTTGAGCTGCTGTTTTACTTAACTTCTGTGTAGCCTCAGTGTTTTCTTTAAACTGAGGTGTTCTAGGAAATCTGTGGAGATCATTTATGTTTAGAGTCTTGACCAATCCCAAGTTCATAGTAAAGGTTCCATAGAACATATCCACAGTAAAATAATGCATAATTTACTAGTGGTAGTTTTATGGTGTTTTAATGGAAAATACCTGTGGAAAACACATTTCCTTCCTAAAGTTCTAATCTGAATGTTTAAAACTCATTTATTTCCCCATAATTATTTTTAACAGATTTATGCTACTAAAGATTCATTTGAAGTATTTTAATAAAGACTTTTTCTCACTGTGTGAGAATTGGAAAATTATTTCTGAGTATGTGTCTGTTATACATAGCTTTTGATATATCCATGTAACTAGACTACTTTTTTTTGGCTTTAATAACTAGATTATTTTTTAATGTTTATCAATCACCTAATTTTTTTCTTTAGCTTTCTTCTGTTCGGACAAAAAAAGAACCCCAAACATTAATTTAGCATAACTGCTCATTAGTGCATATGAGTGTAGTCAGATGAGATTCCTGTAAAATGAAAAATATTCACACACAAGTTACTTTTATCTATTTGCTTTAAATGAAATAGAGCTTAAGTATAATTATAAAGCATCTTAAGTTATCTTTTATGGAAATTGCATATCAGAGCATTATATTGAATTGTTTTCTGTTCTCAGAGAGAAAAGAACTTTTTTGATAATTTTACATGATATTTCATTCATCTGGTAATGAATATGTTGAATGCAGACTGTATTTTTCACATGGTAAATCTTGATGTATAATATTATATAGCAACATATTATAGATGATCATTGAAAACGTGGTCTTGTTTTCACATAGGGATTCTACCAACATTCTAGTCTTTTTCATGGTAACAAATAGATTTAAAATTAGATTTATAATTCAAAAAATAGAATATCATAGTTCCTACTTCTTACCATGTCACATTTGAATGTATAGGCATTGAAAAGAGAGGGAAAATAATTTTTATAGAAATATAATTGTGTCCTCATGTGAAACAAATCTTTTAAATTATTTACCTGAGGCTTTACTCCTACCATGCTGACTTTGGGACTCAACTGATACTATCCACTCCAAGTGATACTGAATTTAGGGTTCCATGAAAACTTGGACTAAATTTCAGTGACAGTTCGCAGCTACACATAAGCTTGTAAGAAAATAAAGAATTGAATGCATAGGAGAATTTAACAAAAATGGGAATTTCTATTTAGAATCCAAATAGTGATACTAAGTTATTTATCAGTTTTATCTTTCATTGTTTAGACTCTGAAAACTGGCCTGACAATGGTTGGGAAAGTGGTAACTCAGCTGACAGGCACGCTGCCTGCAGGTGTGACAGAAGATGATGTTGCCATCCACAGTAACTCGAGGCGGAGCCCTTTGGTCCCAGGCATCATCACAGTAATAGACACGGAAACAGTTGGAGAGGGCCAGGTAAGAACCTCTGACGCATGTAGTGTCCACTCTAGAGGACGGGCTGACTGACAGTGTCATTTGGGGTCGAGATGAGCCAAAATGTATGTGGCCTCAAAGGTTGTTAATTTGGATGTCTAGAAATTGAAGTTACTTTATGTTAGACTTTCCCTCCTGACAAAATGATGAGTAATATATTGAAACCTGTTATTTCAGATTTTATTAATGTATCATACCTGAAGGTAAAATTGAGGTTCTAAGTGATTCTCTGGTTATCTCTTCATCAGGACATTTGTTTCACATATAATTATATATCTCTTTTTATTGTTCTTTTCATAATAGTATTTATTTTTAAATAGTATTTGTTAGTATCTAAACATAAATCAGAAGATTTGTAATATGTTTTTGAGGTAGATATTTATTCAAAGAAGTAATCAACAGGACCATAAATATTTAGGGGAATCAAAAATATTTTACTGGATAGTTACAAGTGACAGTAATATGAACACTATCAAACATTACAAATATGAAAAAATACATGAAATCTCAGTGTATGTTAGAATATATATACATGGTGATAGCTGAATATAAAATTGTGTATCTCAAGATAAAACAGATTTTTAAAATGTAGGTTCAGAACTGTCTAGAATAAGTGACTGTAAAAGTGAAAAAAGATATGCTGGCATTTAAATCCTGTTTTTAAGAAACCAGTTGGGTTTAGTGTTTTTTTTCCTCATGTACTCATAAATATGTATTGTTTGGTATCATAGTTTTGAATTTTAAATACATTTCTGGAAGTAAGGTAATTTTAAAAGTCAGTTAGTTGTGATCATTTACTATAAAGGATAATTTAATATCTATTATTAGAATAAGATAGTAGAGCAACATTTGTGAAATAAAAATTATTTTACTTTTACATAGATTATATACTGAGTTCTGTTTTCAGGACATAATGTTTAAAAACTATGTGAGCCTGTAAAATATTAACCCTAAATATTGGATTTTTTTTTGAGAAAAATCTGCTTCTAGCATACATAGTCTATCTTATCGAAAGATTAATATTTGGCAGTTACTGACGTATTAAATGCTATAGTAAGATCAAGTGGCATGTCCAAAAAACTCTGGAGTCTCCTGCAATTAAAAGATAAAACAAATCTTTAACCATTTTGGGTTTTGAATTTGGCTATTGTGTTTTATTTGAAATTTGTATAATAATAATTCTCCACCTCTCCCTTTTTAACTTTGTTGTTAACCAAGTGCGTGTAGACTTGTATTCTTGTTCAGCACTCTTGTCAGTGAAATGCTAGCCAACTTATTGGTTGATTGTAATGATTTTTTTAAAGTTATGTTAATTAATTAGCTCAAGTTGATGAGCACATGCAGATGCTCTCTTTTTTAATTGGAATTAAATATATAAATCCCTTAGCGTTTTAGGAATGTTAAAGTAAGAATTTTCTATTGTCCTTTGAATCTTAATTAATAGTAACATTTACTGAGAGTAGTAACAGCCCTTGTCAGCATTATCTAGTTTGGTGAGTGTAAGTACATCTGTTAAACATCTAGCCTTTGTCGACAGACTTGTAGTCATTTAGAAGTTGGAAGTGTTATCTCTTACCATCTTTGATGAAATAGAGATATAACTCATTATTTTATCGTATTGAGGTATAGGAACATGTAAAAAAGAAAAGAATTAAACTAATTTTATAAAAAGCACAGCAGTAGGCCTCATGTTTTTAAATGTGTGCTCTCACCCCCAGTTCTTCCAGAACTTTTTATAATTTTGAAATGGAATGCTCAGATTTAAAATATGGGAATAGACTGTAGATTGTGGAGTTGCAAAAGTGAGTTTTTCTGTTATAAATTCAGTGTAAAACTTGAAACACATAAAGTTGTTTATTAGGAGATAAGAATTATAGAAATGCTAGCTTTTAAGTTAGTGTTATTCAACCCGAAAGTTTGTATTTTCTATTATTTGTTGGGTATATAATTTTCTATACATTCCTACTTATAACATAGTCTAAATTTTAACTTGATTTAAAATTGTATTATTAGACAAAATAAATTGATATTCAATATATGTTATATTTATAAATAAATATTCTTTAATGCAACAAGATTTCTTTTGTGTAGTATTGTTCTCCTTTTGTTTATTAATGTGAATCTGTTTTTTGTCAGGAAGACATTTTTGTGTCTGACAAATAGTTCAGTTGGGGTTCAGGGATGTTTTCAGGTTATGCTGGATTGTATTTAAAAAACTGCCATGGTTAACACCATAGATTTATTACTTTCAGCCCATTCCCATTGATGTTTGATCTTAGCCGTAACCGTTTTCCTTCTTCATATGTGTTGCAGAAGCTCAGGCTGACTTTAGGTTCAGTTTTGCTGTTTAAATCCATTGAGCCTTTAATAAAGATATTTTCATGTTTACAGTTGTAGTATATCTATCTGATACTAAATTGATTAGTTTGATTTTTTTTTATGGTGCAGGATCATTGTGTGGTAACTGCATTAAGGGAGAATGGATTTAATTGACTACATTTTTATCTTTGTTACTTTCATGTTTTATTTAAAAGCATTTCATGGCTAGGATAGGTTAAGTGGAATAGTTTGCCTTTACACACTTATAAAATTGAAGTTAGTCATGTGGCAAAGTCTCTAATCAAAGAAAATGCTTCAGACTGATGATAGAAATGGAGCTATCTCAACTTGAGTACATGTGTTATTAATAATACTTTAATTGTTCCTAGGTGTATTGTCTCTTTGTTCATATGATAAAGGCTTATTCATCTTGTATCAGTTAAGAGTTCTTTGCTTTAATATAGTCATGTTTTTACTACATGAATTTAGGGGTTCAGCCTGCTTAGTTTAAGTGGTAAGTAAAACTTACATGTCTTAGGACAGTTGTATTGAGGTAGCTTTGGTTTTAGTGATTTGATGTTTTAGGCAAAGTGCTAATGCAATGGAGAGAATCCTTCTGCAAGTATCAGGTCATTATATTTGTGAAGCTCATAAAGAGAAGATTCAAAGAATTCTATGTAGTGCTATGAGGTTTTGCTGTGCACCAAGATTAATGTGCCTTTTTCAGGATGGCTTCTGTGTTAGTGCCATTGATTACAGCAGTGATTTTCAACCTTTTCCTTCTCATAGCACACATAAACTTGTTATTAAAATTCTGTGGCATGTTAAAAAATTTTCGATAAAGAGAGTTAACATGAAATTTTTAGTTTCCCAGTGCATAGAAAAGTTACGTTTACACTGTGCTGTAGTTGGTTAAATGTACATTAGTATTATATCTAGAAAACAATGTATATAAATACATTTAAAAATATTTTATTGCTGAAAAATGCAGTATATCTACATGGCACAATAAAATGAGGTACGCCTATATTTGGGGACTCTGGAAGTTGAACAAAAAGCTAAGAATGAAATCATAAGCATGTATTCCTAAAAAGGTGCTAGAACTATAATAACATTAAAGATAATTGTTTAGCACAAAAGAGGATCAAAGGAACAAGAAATACCTGGAACATATGAAAATAAATAGCAAGATGGCACATCTAAATCCAGTTATGTGCATAGTTACATTACCTATAACTAACTGGGCACATGTTAAATGACAGTGATTATCAAGATTGATGAAGTGTGAACTATAGTATTGCATAGAGGGAAATGAATACTCTAAATGTACATAATAGGGAAGAAAATGGTCTGAAATTAGTCTTAGCTTATTCCTTAAGAGATTAGAAAATGAAGAGGAAATTATACCAAAAGCAAGAGAAAAGAAGCAAATAATAAAGAATGGACAGAAATAAAATAGCAAACTGAAATATTGGAGAAAATCCAAATTTGGTTCTTTGAAAAGATCAATAAAATTGATAATTGTGATGGTATAGCAAATGGAATTGTTTTCTTAATTTCCTTTTTGGATCGGTTACTATTAGTATAATTGAATTCAGCAAAGTTGTAGGATATGAAACTAACATTTATTTATTAGTTCTAAAATTAATAGTGAAAAAGGAAACTTATAGAGTGGGAGAAAATAGTTGTAAATCACATAGTTGATGAGTTAATGTATAGTATGTGTAAGGAATTTCTACAACTCAACAACAAAAAATAACCTTATTTATTAACAAATAGAATTTGACTAGATAGTTCTCTGAAAAAGATATAAAATGAAAAGATGCTCAGTATCACTGATCAAACTACCAGTCACACCACAGTGAGATATTACCTTGCACCTATCAGGATGAATGATATTGAAAGAACAGAAAATAAATGTTGTCAAGGATGTGAAGAAGTTTGAACCTTTGTGAGCTGTTAGGCAGCAATTATGGGAACCTGTATGAAAGTTGTTCAGAAGTTGAAATATGAATTACCGTATGTTCTAGAAATCTCACTTCTGGGTTTATATGCAAAATAGTTTCAAGCAGGATCTAAAAGATGTATTTACACACCCATGATTATTGCAGTTTTATTTATAGTAGTCAGGAAGGGAAAAACAATCCAAATGTCTAACAGTAGCTGAATGGATGATGGAAGATGTTGTACATACATACAATGTAATAATTTTATATAGCCTTAAAAGAGCTGTACATTTTGTTCTGTTACATCATAGTTGAACTTGGAGAACGCTGTTGTAATGGTTATAGGATTGATAAAATCATTGTAAAAATAAAGTAGGTGACTTTTCCTGTATGTAAATTATACCAGTAAAGCTTTTTACACAATTGGAAAGGTTACCATTGCCAGTGTAGGACCAATTCCTGGGTTACAAATTAAATTCTTTGTCTGATTATCATGATTATGTATGAGTATAGCAGGATTTTACTTTGGATATTATTTATGTTAAACTTTTTCAGTAATTACTTGCCTTGTAAAATAAATACATATTTTTCCTCAGAATCATTGAATAGTATACTCACAATTGGGCAAATTATATTTTAACATGCTTGTCAAAAAATTAAGTGGAATAAATTTGAGGTGCAAAACTATCTGCTGTATCATACTTCTGATTTTATGACTTGGTAATATTTTCAAAGAGGTGATTTGTCTATCTAAAAACTAGGTGTTAAAGACCAGAACCTTTTACTTTAAATAAAAATTTTATGGGTAATTCCTCTGACCTGTAGCTGTTTGTTGGTGTTTAACCTGTTCTGCTGTTTTTCCTTGTTTTATTCCCATCACAGGCACAACTTTTTCAGCAGGCCTTAACACAGCAAGAACTGTGCTTCTGTTTATTGGATAAAGCTCTACATAGCTGATTCTTTGTTTTTGTTGTTGTTGTTTGCCGAATGTACACTTCAAGAAATTATCGTCTCTGTTATCTGTAGTGAAGTTAACCAACTGTTCTTAGAGTTTATATGATTGATCTGCTGGGGTCCTATTATGTCTTTTCCTCATTCCTAAAGTGGCATTCTCACCTTATTGACAAGAATAATCTGCCGTTATCGTGGAAGCATGTCATTTGGTCAGGGACTGTGCAATAGCTGTGTATACACCTTCAGCCTCAGTAATTGGTGATTAAAGGTTAACTTCAATTTGCCTTCTTCCTTTTTGTAAAGGTGCTTGTGAGCGAGGATTCTGACAGTGATGGCATTGTGGCTCACTTCCCAGCTCATGAAAAACCAGTGTGCTGTATGGCTTTCAATACAAGTGGTACGTCTCCCCTTCCCTGTCCCCGCCGCCCCTGCTTTATAGCATGGATTTTCTTTTTTTTCTTTTTTACATATATATTTTTAAAAAATTGTTTTATTGTTGTTCAATTACAGTTGTCTGCATTTTCCCCCCACCACTCCTCTCTACCCCAGCTAAACCCACCTCCCTCCTTTGCCTCTACTCCCCCCCCCCTTGGTTTTGTCCATGTGTCCTTTACAGTAGTTCCTGAAAACCCCTTCCCCCATTGTTCCTCCCCCCTCCCCTATGGTTAGATTGTTCTTATTTTCAATGTCTCTGGTTATATTTTGTTTGCTATGTTCTTTTGTTGATTATGTTCCAGTTAAAGGTGAGATCATATGGTATTTGTCCCTCACCACCTGGCTTATTTCACTTGACATAATGTTTACCAGTTCCATCCATGCTGTCACAAAGGGTAGAAGCTCCTTCTTTCTCTCTGCTGCATAGAATTCCATTGTGTAAATGTATCATAGGTTTTTGATCCACACATTTGCTGATGGGCACCTAGGTTGCTTCCAGCACTTGGCTATTGTAAATTGTGCTGCTACGAACATTGGAGTGCATAGATTCTTTTGGATTGGTGCTTCAGGGCTCTTAGGATATAATCCCAGCAGTGGAATTGCTGGGTCAAAAGGCAGTTCCATTTTTAATTTTCTGAGGGAATTCCATACTGTTTTCTACAGTGGGTGCACCAGTCTGCATTCCCACCAACAGTGCACTAGGGTTCCCTTTTCTCCACATCCTCTCCAACACTTGTTTGATGATTTGTTTATGATAGCCATTCTGACTGGTGTGAAATGGTATCTTATTATGGTTTTAATTTGCATTTCTCTGATGGCTGGTGATGCTGAACATCTTTTCATATGTCTCTGGGCATACATATGTCTATGTATGTCCTCCTTGGAGAAGTGTCTGTTCAAGTCTTTTGCCCATTTTTTAATTGGGTTGCTTGTCTTCTTGGAGTGGAGTTGTGCGAGTTCTTTATATATTTTGGAGATCAAACCCTTGTCCAAGTTATCATTAGCAAATATGTTTTCCCATATTGTTGGTTCTCTTTTCATTTTAATGCTGTTTTCTTTAACCATGCAGAAGCTTTTTAGTTTGATGAAGTTCCATTTGTTATTCTTTCCTTTATGTTCCTTGCTTTAGGGGACATATCAGTGAAGATGTTGCTGCATAGAATGTCTGAGATTTTCTTGCTGATATTTTCCTCTAGGACTTTCACGGTGTCATGACTTATATTTATTTTTGTGTATGGTGTAAGCTGGTGATTTGATTTCATTTTTTTTACATGTAGCTGTCCAGCTCTCCCAACACTTTGTTGAAGAGGCTATTTTTACTCCACTTTATGCTCCTACCCTCTTTATCAAATATTAGTTGACCATAGAGACTTGGGTTTATTTCTGGGCTCTCTGTTCTGTTCCATTGGTCTATGTGCCTGTTCTTATGCCAGTACCAGGCTGTTTTGATTACAGGGGTCTTGTAATATAGTTTGATATGAGGTATTGTGATCCCTCCTACTTTGTTTTTCTTTTTCAAAATTGCTGCAGCTATTTGGGGTCATTTATGGTTTCATACAAATTTCTGAAATGTTTGTTCTATATCTGTGATATATGTCATTGGTACTTTAATAGGGATTGTGTTGAATCTATAAATTGCTTTGGGTAGTGTGGACATTTTGATGATGTTAATTCTTCCAGTTCATGAACATGGTACATGCTTCCATTTGTTTGTGTCTTTCTTAATTTCTTTCTTTAGTGTTGTATAGTTTTCTGAGTACGGGTCTTGTACCTCCTTGGTTAGGTTTATTCCTAGGTACTTTATTTTTCTTATTGCTATATCAAATGGGATTATCTTCCTGATTTCTGTTTCTGATATTTCATTGTTGGTATACAAAAATGCCTTTGATTTCTGGATGTTGACTTTGTATCCCACTCTTTTGCCAGATTCACTTATTAGATTGAATAGTTTTTTTGGTAGAGTCTATAGAATTTTCTGTGTACGCTATTGTGTCATCTGCAAAGAAAGACAGTTTTGCTTCCTCCTTTCCAATTTGGATGCCTTTTATTTCTTTTTCTTGTCTGATTGCTATGACTAGGACTTCCAATACTATCTTGAATAGAAGTGGTGAAAGCGGCATCCTTGTCTTGTTCCTGATCTTTGTGGGAAAGGTCTAAGTTTTTGCCCAGTGAGTATGATGTTGCTGATCATTACATTTTGTTTTTTCCCCATTTTATTACTAACAGTTTCAAATGTTAAAATTGATCTAAAAGATTATATAGTAATGACCCATGTGCCACCACCTTCATTAAACATGTGTTCACATAAAAAAATTAATTAATTTATTTCTAGAGAGGGGAAGGAAGGGTGAGAGAGAATGAGAAAAACATTAATGTGTGGTTGCACTGTGTGCCCAGTACTGGGGACCTGGCCTGCAACCCAGGCAAGTGCCCTGACTGGGAATAACACCAGCAACCCTTTGGCTTGCAGACCAGCACTCAATCCACTGAGACACACCGGCCAGGGCACATTTTAATATGTGTGTGTGTGTGTGTGTGTGTGTGTGTGTGTAATACATACATATGTGTATTTTGCTGAACTATTTCAATGTAAGTTACTTGTATTATAAAATTTTACCCAGTATAAATGATGAATTTCCTAAGAATAAGGACTCCATCTTGTATAAGCAAAATTATATTGTAGTTTAGAAAACTAACACACTATATTATCTAATATCCAAGCCATAATTTAAAATTCCTCTATTTTCTCAAAAATGTGTTCTCAAGCTGCTTCAAACTGAGTTCTAATTCAAGTTCACTTCTTACATTTTGTTTTGTCTCTTTAGTTCCTTTTAATCCACCTTATAACTTCCACTTCTTTTTTGCAGTGCCCAGTCCAGTTATGTTATGCAAATTCTGCATTTGTCATATTTTTTTCATTATAATAATGTTTTCTTTGTTCTCTAAAAAGGCTTTTAAATAGCATTCAGGCTAAGGATTTTTTTTTAACATCTTAAGTATTGCTGTCTACATCATTTCATCCTGGCAGGAGACACATCACATCAGGTTGTCTTGCAATTCATGATACTATGTTTGATCACTTGGAGGAGTTAGTGACCCATCAAATGTCTGCATATTGGAGATAGGTTTCTGTTGTGGAGATTAGTAAGTAATCTGTGGAGTGTTGTTTTGGCCTTGTTTCTGAAACAACTTTTTATTTAATAGTTTTGTTACATTGAAGGCTATATAACAGTGATGTTTTTCCTAATTGTATTGTTTTCTGCATTGATTGTCTGTTGTTCTTCTATTAAAAAAGTTTTCTCTCATCATCCAGGATGAACCACAGTCATCCTGTATGTGAAAGGCAGAGATTAAATGCTTAATTTGGTAAAATGCTTTATCAGTTTTTATAATTAGCTGTTGGTTTAATACTCTCAGTGGTGGAATTCCACTGTAGTGGAGTTATTTTTAAAATAAAAGTTACTTTGTTCATAAATAAAAGAAAATTGTTGTTTTGAGTTCAGAGCTAAAATATTTTCATAAATGTACAGTCTTTTCCAATTTTACATTTTTTGTTGATGAATCTGAAGAGACTGCCATTTTATCTTACTCTGCAGAAATGATCCTATTAGTTAGAATGATGGTAAATAAAGAATGATGGTAAGAGGATAATATAGAGTACTTTGAATAATCTTTCCTCCAATAACTTAATTAGTCATTTTTGATAGGAAGATTTTTGTACTGATTGTTGATCAGTAGGATTGATTTAATTAATGAAGACAAAGATTTATTGAAGTGGGCTGAATATTGTGGGAATTAAGTTAAATTTGAAGAAAGTCTGGAAGTTATGTCCCTCACAGCACTCCACTTGAAGGAGCCAATATGACTCATTTTGATAGGCCATCTATTATGTCAGATCTCCTTTGTATTAATGTACATTTCATACTACCAAAGTCAGAGTCCTTCAGACACTTGAAGCTTTATTTTTTCCTGTCAATGACTTTCTGTTAAAACAAGAACATATTGGGTTGGGCGAAAAGTTTGTTTGGCTTTTTTCTGTAAGATGGCTCCAGTGGCACTTAGTTGTCTTTGACTTCATCCAGAACAGGTTTGTTAGATTGCATTGCTACAGCTGTCTAAGAAGCATGCATTAAAACAACAACAACAACAACAAGCAACAGACTCCCAGTATGGTGATGGAGCCCAGAGTGTTGAGGGCTGAGGCTGGCCAAGAAGGTATAGGTGAGCTGGTCTGCCCAGAAAGGTACCAGCCAGGTGGCCCTAGTCAATTCCACTTGGGCTGCTATTCTTGGATGGGAAACAGTGAGAATTTAAGACGTAAGTGCTCATTTCAAAGATGAATTCCAGCCAACACCCAAATGTATGTAAGAACCTCCTGCCCTCTCCTCTCAACCCGGCATGGGAAAAAAAAACAAACACAAAGTGGGCCGGTGTATTGCCCAGTTTGGGAGTGAATATTATATAAACCATTTGCAGATCATTTTGGTTCTCTTTTTTTCAAAGTCTTTGCACAATAAAACCAATGTATTTGTTGATACAGGACATTAATTCCATTAAATTGCATTAAGTGTAAAAAAACTTATCAACATTGATGAATTTTTGTGTAGCTATTTTAGTTTGTAGATAGAATTAAATATGCAACATTTTTGGCATGTTAAGCTTTATTATTTAAAGAAAGGTAAAAATGCAACTGAAATAAAAAAAGATTTGTGCAGTGTATGGAGAAGGTGCTGGGACTGACTGAATGTGTCAAAAGTTGTTTGCGAACTTTTGTGCTGTAGATTTCTTGCTGGATGATGTTCTAAGGTCAGGTGGACCAGTTGAAGTTGATAGTGATCAAATCAAAACTAATTGAGAACAAACCACAGGGGTAGTTTTGTTGTGATCGAACATACATTGGTATACCATTATCAATGAACATCCTTAGTTTACATTAGGGTTCAGTGTTGCTGTTTTATCTTT